AGACTGTTGAGAGGGGCTTTTGATTTTGCTGACTCAGATGTTTCAGCATCTCCTAGACCTGAGCTGCAGTCACGCAGACCGGTGCTTGGGTGCCTGGGAGCAAGGCACGGGCAGCACTGCCTTGGCTGTGTTGGTGCACTGGGGATGCTGGATGAGCCCTGGGTGGCTTTTGGAGCAATGAAGAAAAGCACTGATTTCCAGAGATGGACAGTCATCATTGGACTGTAATATCCCTAAAAGAGGGCTAATCCAGTGCTTCTAAAATGTTTTTGTTTTTTTTAAATGAATGAATGGATTCTTAGGTATAGTTAATGCAAACGTGTTTTCTGGTATATGTGGCAGTGAGCCTGGCTTTTTCCACTGTCTACTAATGTCTAGCAAGTGATAATGACCTTAAAATAGTACTAAATGCCAATCTGATGTCTGTTTTGGGTTTTTTTTTTCAGGTTGATTGTTAGTTTAATACAAACTAGTGAAGATGACACCGAAACATGAAAAGCAAGTAAGTCACACCTGAGCTTTAATAAAAAAAGATTCTATTTTGATGGTTGTGGATTGAATTTCATTAAGATTCACCTGGGCCAGGAAAGATTGGTTGTATTCTTCATACTTTAAGTACCAGGCTACAGAATATTCTGGAGTGATGCAGTGCCAGTTCCTTCTGTTAAAGTTTGATGGAGGAATCAAATATTCATTGGATCAGAGAGGAGGAAATTAAATGACTCTGTGCCTAAGGGGCTCAGACACTGACATAGGAGAGGGGGGACTTGGATTTCAGTCTTCCCTTCATCATTCATTGGGAATTTTGTAGGACTTAATGGTTGGAGCTGTGTCTGAACTCTTTTGCTCTGTCCTGATACATGTTAAAAGTTCCAGTAAATTATTTTGTCTCAGCTGTTAGTCTCTTATCAGCCTTACTGCTCGGCATGCATGGAGTGAAGATGCCAACACTCCCAGCGTGAAAAGCCCCATGTCCTTTGTGGTTGATCCTTTTACTAATAGGCGACCTGATGGGAAACTTCTTTTCTTGGAAGCTTGTGGAAAATGACTCTTCGGGGGTTATTGACTAATCAGATGTGTAACACTGGTACCGTGGAGCATGAGATTATCACCTGATATGGTCCTGAGCACAGAAATTGTAATTAAAATGCAGCTGGAATGAATGAAGCAAATAATTATCCCATGCAGGTTTATTTTTATTCCTCCTCCTTGTGGTAGATATTTTTCCCCCATATTAAAAATAGATGTTTCTATGTCAAATTTCATATTTTCCTAATAGGAAAATGTTAAAAGTAGACTTCTCAGAAACTTGATTTGTGGTCAAATTCAATATAGAAGAGCTGCTGGCTTATCCTTGTCTCTAAGCAATTCATTGCATTGTGCAGAAATACTTCCAACAGGAGAAAAGAGGGGGAGGTGGGGGAAGATAGACGTCTTGTGTTTGCTTCAGCTACTTTTATGGTATATTCTTCCTTTTGACGCAAATCCAAATGGGAACATTTCCGTTTTCAGTGCTTGTGTCTACTATGTGGCTATGACCTTGCTGCCCTTTTCTGCTGCTGTGTGCACTCGTGTTCTTTGCACAGGACTGTAACCGTGAGGAAGCAGGTGTAAGCCAGGCCGGGGAAGTCACTTGGGCCATTTTGTTGTTTATTTGTGACCCTACTTGAACTGCTCTAGGCCTTGAGGATAGGGTAGCAAAATTCTGCCGGTGCCATCGATGCCTGAACGGGCTGGCACAGAAATCACAAACAGTTTTGCCAGGAATTAAAAGGCACATCCAGCCAGAGAAGCTGCTCTGCTAATTCCTGCTTGTTAAGTAATTAGGACTACTTTTTGTAGTAGTTATGACTACTTTTGTGGCAAGTTTGAAGTTCTTCATGAGGATATTTGGGCCAGCATGGCTACTGAGATCCATATCTCCATATCAAAGCTACAGTACTAGCAGTTTGGATAGGAAATGTTTTGCTTATGAATTTAGCAGTTCCCAGGGAGGAGGAATAAATGGTGACGCCACTTTCTGTTGAGTCTATATAGTTTCCAGTGCAGTAGGCCTCCACAAGCAAGCTTGGACACTTTGAGCTGTCAGCAGTAAGTTCTGGTTTTGGAAGAATTGTTGCATTTGGGTGTTACAGGAAACATACCATTCTTGAATGCATGATGGACACACATGTAATGTGCCTCTCAATTTAAAAAAAAAAGAGAGAAAGTACATATTGTGTTGCATAATAGCTAGATCTGCAGTTCTGGAAAAAACAAGCAGAACTGGGTGGAAGGGGAAGAAGACACCTTGAAAAGGATTGCAGCTGACAAAAGTAAAAAGTCCCCAGAAGGAGCAGCCACTTTGGGCACTGCTTCCCAGGGAGGTACAGCAGGGCTTCAGTGCAGTCTTGTGACAAAAGATGAAGTTAGTCTTCATGTGGGCAATGGGAGGAAGAGGTCAGCCTCACCTCCCATAAGTGAGTGCATAACTTGAAGATAGACATGTCTGTTGAGGGTATCCTAATTTTTATAGCAAAATGAGGAAGGAAGAGAGTATATGCAGAGGAGAAAGGCAATTATTACCCAAAACTGTTGTAATCTGGTGACTCTGTGACCAGCGAATGCAGGATGGACTGAGCATACAATGGCAATCTCCCAGAGGAATATTCTGCCACCTAACTCTACTTGGACCCTAACATAGTCTGCATGTGAATATTGGCCTTTAGAAGCCTACTTTTATAGGGATGGGGAGGCATAAGCACTTTTTCTGGAAGTGTATCTGCATCTGCACTGAGCAGTTAGGGCTGCTGTGGTTAAATCAATATTGTTGTCCCGGTGGGGTCTTGTATCCTGGAGAAGGCTTAGAGGTCAAAAGAGGAGGGGCAGTCTATGTGTGCAATGCGGCTGTTTCAGAGCAGCAGAAACGGTAACGGGAATTGTGATTAACACTTCCTGGATTCAAGATATTTATAGGGGAAGTAGATCTTGAGAAAGGCTGTACATTTTTGGTTTTGTTTTCTAGTTGCTTAATGCTTAATCTTACTTCATTCTGAACTCCGTATGAGTACTATTTGGTAAATAAAGGAAAAAAAAAAAGAGAAACACCCTGTCTACTGCTGAAATCCTGGTGTTTCAAATTAGAACTGACACTGCGTGTGAGGGCTGCAGTTTGCTGAGGTGCTCTGCTACACCGCAGATCATTTTCACTCTTGGCTCGGTAATATCCTGCCTAGACACCTGCCTGCCGCAGTGTGTACCACAGGTCTCCATCCTTCTGTAGGGTGCTTGACTTCTTCCTCAGTATTGAAACTCAGTGACTATTTAATTGGATATTAAAAGTGTACAGAGTTTTGTGTAAATAATGTGGTCTTCAATTAAACCCATGGCTAGCCTACAGCATATCCCGTAGTACCTTTTAATCATAGTACTTTGGTATAATAGAGGTTGAAAGAAGCACTTCAAAGACTTTTGATTCTGTACAAAGGAGAGAAGGTTATAGAAGGTTACTTGGAAACAAAGTAATTTGGGGAAGCTGGACAAAAGAAAGGGCAGTGAGAAGTCAGTACAAGTGTAGGTGAAAGGAAGGGGACCGAGGTTAGGTGGTGAGCAGGCTCCCTGCAGTTGTGACTCCTGGGCTGCAGCAGTTGAAGGGAAGAGGGAAGCGGTGTCCCATTGGAAGCTTCCTGGTGTAATTCCTCTTCTTCCACTTGCAGGACTGATGCATTTAGTGCTCAGGAAAGAAAAGAAAGTCTGCTTAGGAGAAGTGGTTGCAGCTCTGGGGAAGAGTGGGACACGGGGAAATAGGAGGCTGGGGAAGACAAAAACTTGAGAAAATGTAAGACTGTGAATATGAAAAGATGTTACAGTGGGTCCAAAAGTACACTATGTCTATACAGTGCCCCGTTTAGTTTCACGCTTACCAGACAACTCAGGGCTGAGCTATCTACACAGCTCCCCATGGGTCGTCTCTGCAGAGACAGGGCCTCAAGGCAATATAAGGCTGAGTTGCTCCTGCAACCCCCCCACGAGTTGCCTGGTGCACTGGACATTACTGAAACCTGTTTAAAACTATGAGCCAGACTAATCCTTACAGTGATAAATATGATAGGCAGTGAGGCAGGCAAAAAAAACCCAACCCTGCCAAAACAACCAAAAAATAGTTTCCTTTCCTTTATTTAGCATATTTCTCAGGATCTGTACAGGATGAGGAATAACTTCCTCATGTCTCCCACTAGTGTTTTTGTAAAAGTAAAGCATGAGCCTCAGCTGGTAGAAGTGATTGTAGCTCTATTCATTTGTTCCTCTAGTGCCACATTGGCATGGGGCTAAAAAGCTATAGAGGAGAATCGGGCCTCTGGTACTCTTCAGCAAGGAAGGAAGCAGCAGAGGTGGCAGGAGCCTTTCAAATGGGCTTTCTTTGGCAAGGTGCTGGTGACATGCACCAAAAGGACATCCAGCAGTAATGCAGAAAACACTGCATAGGAGCTGGGCTAGCTGAGGTAAAACTGAGGGCTGTATCAGGCCACAGGCTCCCCATCCCTGAACCAGTGCCACCTGGAAATCAGTGTGGTAAATGATTTATTCCAGATCATGAACACCTTTCTGCCACATACTGTTCAATAACTGTTCAGGAAAACACCCATGTTTTTCCCTTTAAGGTTGTCATTGTTCTCCGGTTGTTCCATTGAACTGTTGGAACTGTTGCTGTTGGTGGCACACTGAACTGTGTGTGGTGGGGGGAGAAGACTCGGCTGAAGAGTAAAGCTTTCTTCTCTGACATCTGGGGTTTGAGCATGGAGAGGCACATTTTAAGAGCTTTCTAGATCAAGATTTCTTGGTTTTTGCAAAGTCATACTAAAAAAGCATTTACCAGAGACACTGTCATTCCTCCCACAGTTGATTCCTGTATCTGAAATCCTGTGCAGTGCCTTCCTCTCAGAAGGAATAAACCTACAACTTAAAATTATACGGTTTTCTTTAACTGAGTGATTGTTTAAGTGGCTGGCATAGCTCTTTGGGTGAACAGCTTATTTGAGCAACTGAACCAGGGCAGCCTATTAATTGCTTGGGAAATAGCAGGTAGTTAAGCACATTTTCAACCTGTGTATTTTAAAGAGAGCTCTTCCATCTCAGTATGAACATAGAGATTTACTAGGTTTTGCTTGTTTGTTTAAATGTGATACAAGCTTTCACATGGTCCTTAGCTAAGGATACTTGGAAACATGTAAATCTTCAGCCTCTTTCAATTCCTGTTAGTGATGCTCAGTTGCATGACAGTAATGCCCACAGGCCTTTTGCCTTCCTTGGGGATCGTTTTAAGTTATTATATAAATGTAGGAATGAAAAGGAAATAGACTATATATGAAAACTTCTGTGACACATACACTGTATTGTTGTCCCCCCAAAATGGGGAATTACACTCTACAGTGTGGCTATGTTGCTTCCTTGGGCAGGTTGGGATAACGGTGCCCACGTCCTTGCACCCTTGGGTGTATTCTGTCGCTTAAGTTCTTGGTGTATCAGGAAGCATATGCAGCATGGCAGAGGGAGGAACGTTCAGCAATGTCTAGAAATACTTGATTTATAAAAAACAAACAACATAGGTACAATGACAAAATAGATTTAGCAGCCAATAAATTATTATTTGTATGTGTTGGGTATGTGGAGCAGGTTTATAACACGTTCTCTGTGAATATTAACTACAAGGGTGGGAAAAGCCTAGTTCTCTCTTACATGTGTGACTTTGAATGTTAGGTTTTCAGTTTGTAGCTACTGAGATCACCAGATCCTCCATGCATGAAACATGTATGACTTTTTACAGTATTACTTAATCTGAAATATTCCTTTTCAACTAGCAGTTTGGCAAGGAATTTCCCAGACATGTGGTACAGCTCAGATGATTCATTGCTTTTTGCTTCTCCTTTTATAGGGTTGCAAAATTCAATAAAACAGCAGTTTGGCTTTTAATCTGAGCACAGTAGTTTGTGGAACAGCAGAGCAATCAAGAGAGTCTTTCAGATTCCCTTTGTCCTCTGAAATTAATTGCTTGATTTTTATTATGCACTTGCAGGAATTTGTAACTGTCTTGGTGCGAGACCCCAGGACGCAAAAAGAAGACTCATGGCATTCTTACATAGACTATGAGATATTTATTCACGTAAGTATAAAAAAAAAAAGTCAGCGCAGATTCTTTGGGCTTTTATTGCTGTTTTTGCCCAAGCCAGGGTTCTCTCTGGGATATTAATGGAACTTCTTTATGCCACTTCTGGGAGGCTGGAGGATATTGTTCTCCTTTTAACATTTGCGATGCAGTGGAACAGGTAAAGTGGGTTGGCCAAGAGCCATGCAGAAGATCATGATGGAGCTGGGAGGTGAACCTGGTGGTGTGTTCACATCTGCTCTCCACAATGTCTTGCAACAGAGACTATTCTCAGCTTTACATATTAACTAGAAGATTGTGATAGTCAGTAATGTTTTCCCATTATAGAAGCTTGGTGTTCCAGTACTCACGGGAAAACAGCTTTCTTTCTAAGTAATTATCTGCTTCTCTGTACTTTGTATTCTCCAGTGTTCTTATTTTTGCCAAGTTATTTGGTTGTTTACATTTTCAGTGTAGTTTGACATTCATATTAGGCTAGTTTAGTGGTGCATGGATATGTCAAGTAACTACATTTGAGTTTATAATTGTAGTCTACCATATGTTAATGGGAGTGTACTTAGAATTATGGTTCTCTTGTGTCTTAAATCTGTCCTATATATAATTTTGTTTTGTTGATTTTGTTGATTATTCTTCTTTGGTGGATTACATAGAAAAGGATTTATCCTAATTTCCCAAATCTAGATCCAGAGATTTTAATTGCAATGTAAAAAAAATAATTGTGAAGTGTATCAAGTATCAGGTGAAGAATTTGAGAGCACCAAGGTACATGGTTAACACTTGGCACAAGACTAAAAGCATTTCCTTCCTGTGTGGGAGAGTTGAGCATTCAGCTTAATGAGAACAAGCAGTCAAGTGATGGCTTATTAAATGTCCATTGTGACAAGTACTTCTCTTATGTGTGGCAATCAGAGCTGTGAAACTTACATTTTGCAATGTGTTAAAGTACTGCTTCCAAAGCAATTCTATTTTTTACTATTGGTAAATAGAAATTCTGTAGATTTGGCGGGGTGGGTGCTGTACTACTGCTTCACAGGTGTTGGTGCTTCTGAACAGAAGTCTATTACTGGCTTTCTCAGCGTCTGCTAAGTTGGGGTGGTGTCTTTAAGGCCCAGTGTTACATGATTCAGCAATGGGCATCTCTGAAGCTGATAAGCACCACCTCAGCTTCCTACCAGCACAATGCCAAGGCTTTCAGAGACCAAGTCTCTAGGTCAGTCCTCCCATCCAGGCTTCTCAATGGATTCAAAATCCTGGATCTGCTAGGCTCTTAGAACAGCAGGATTCCCCTTCTGCCCAGCTCCTAGAGCATTTGGCTTTTTAAACTGTGAGGTATCCCAAATACTCATCTGTCATGGAAAGCTGGCATCTTTGGACCCTCTACAATCTGTATCGTGGCTATCTAGGAGCTATGGCTTCTGGCAGGTGACTGAGGGTGCATTGGACTGCAGGCTTGTAATGGAGTCCTCTTTGGTAGGAGGGGTTTCATCTCAATGTATGCTCCACAGGAAAATTTGGCAAAAGCATTTAATTTCTGTGAATTGTTTCTCTTTTGATGAATTGGGCCTTTTTCTAGTTGATTAATAGCATTCTGTGAGAAAACTTCCAAATGCTGTTGCTTGCGGGAGAGCAGTCACATTGGTTTCTTTGATTTGATTTAAGTAGGATTGCGCACTGGAATAACTATGTAGCTGTTTGCAGGGTTATAACTAGAATAGCTAAATATGATTTTTTTTCTCCCTGCAAAGATTGGCATTATCTGCTAAAACTTTCTTCTGAGATATTTTTTCCTGTTACTGCAAGTTGTACTGTAATCCAGATCTCTTGCCTTTAAAAAGAAAACAAAGGGAAAAAAAAAAAAAGGAAAGAAAAAAAGCAATGAAAAATAATTCCCTGAGAAGCAATGAAAACTGTCACCAGTCCTGTCTGATTTAAAGTGCAGTCCTTAAACTAAACTGAATGCATGTCAGGCTTTCCAATGGTGTCTCAGGGATTAGCATCTTGGAAGTGTTTTAGATACCATGCCTGCACTTAAGCTTAAGCTGATTTACAAAGTAAAATGTTTTTTATTTCCCAACAGACAAACAGTATGTGCTTTACAAGGAAAACATCCTGTGTTAGACGACGCTTTCGAGAATTTGTTTGGCTTCGACAGAGGCTTCAGAGCCATGCAGTGCTTATGTGAGCAACTTTATATATGGCTATTTAATAATCCCCCAATCATGGGTGGGGAGGGCAGTTTCATCTTAATTCCGAGAATTACAGAAATCAGAGCTGGGAAGTGTCCTGTGTTTCTTGTTAGCACAAGTTTATTCTGTACAAGACATTTTTTCTGCTTTAAACCCAGAAGAACGTGGTTTGTACTGATAGGCTTTGGTGAGCTCCCTCTAATTCGTAACAGATTTGATCTGTGTCTCCTTTTACTATGCACAGGTAGCAGAAATAGCAATCTAGCATAGGTGTACGTACCTCTTCCTTCTCTCTGCATTTCTAGGATGTCCTTAGGTTCTGCACAGACCATAAGGGACCCAGCCAGATGTGCATGCAGGCATAACAACTGGACCAGAAAAATCTGGCTTATTTACTTTTCTCTTTGATGTGTGTAGGAAGCCCTCCAGTTTCTCAGCCTTGTGTTCCCAGATTTGATTCTATGAGCTTCTGGAACATTACCCATGAATTTCATGTGCTTGGGGTTGGCATTTGCGTATTGTATTTTTCTCTGCTGCTTCTGATTTGGTTTTGACTGTGTATTTGCTTCTTGTGTATGAAGACAGTTACCTGATCTGCCATCTAAAACTCCCTTTTTCAATATGAACAATCCCCATCATGTGGACCATCGCCGTCAAGGTCTGCAGGAATTTCTGGAAAAGTAAGTACAGCCTACCCTAGAGACACTGGCAATTTTATGATGTCATCAATTCTCTGGTTTAATATAGCTCATCTCTGGTACTTGAGAGCCACCATGTGGTCATCTGTACATGCTACACATTTGGTTTTATTTTTTATTTGCAAAGTCATATTTCATACATGTGACTTCAGCTCTATTGGATGTACGGAAACTTCAGCTGGAGCTTTTCCATTATGTTTCATTGCACTGGTTATAAATTTTGGATTTATGTCACTTTGCTATTGTGTGCTGAGTTTGGGAGATCTTTCACCATGATGTCTATTTCTAGCTTTCAGGAATAAGCTAGATATTCTCACACGAAGAAACAGACTTCTCTCCCTCTTTATGTTCATGGAAAATCAGTGTCTTTGTGAGCTGAACTGCTGGGAGCCTGGAAAAATTCTGCAGTGAGATCTAATGCAGATATTTCCTATAATGTCAATGGCTTTATTTGCCAGTCCCACTAACACAAACAGGCTCTAACAGCTATGACCACTTCCAGAACAGCTGCAATCTGTATAAAATCATTAATCTGTGTGGCTATGTAAAGTGTTAGTGTAAAGGAATGGTGTAGCCTCAGCTAAAATCTGATCTGTGCTTCAAGGGAGCACTGTATGAGTTTCAGTACTGCATCCCTCAGTCCCACTGCTGGAAAACATCTCACCTTCTGCAGTGGCAGAGAACCTGTTGGTGTCATTTTCTTCCTTTTCTGCCAGTCTCATAGTACCCTGGCATGGCTGGGGTGAGAGCAGGCTGCTCACAGCTGCTGGGGCAGGAATTGGGCTCTCTTTAGCCACTGCTCACCACATACTGAATCACTGCAAGTACAGGTTGTTCATCTTCTCTCAGTATCAGTGTTTCCATGAATCAGAACCACATAAGCAAAGGAAAGAAAGCAAATAATTTAAGCAGGCTTTAAGCCTCATGGTCAGTAGGTAGAGGAATATTGAACCAACTGTTTTTCCAGTCACTGTGATATAATTATAAACCTCCCTAACAGACAAAAAAAAATCATTGGTCCTAAGATGTGTTTGTTATGCTTAACAGCTAAAGGCAGGAAGATGTAGTCAGTGAGGGAGCTGCAGGAATAAAATTTCTGTGTACAGTTATATAGGATCTGTGGCCAAAAGGATAGCAAATAAATACTGGTTGAGGGCATGCAAGAGAGGGAAAGCAGAAAAAGATAGGGTTGTTTTCTGCACCTCAGGAGAGAAAAACAGGAAAACAGCATCACTGTGCTTCTAGAGGCAGTAATATTAATGGTCAGCTGAAGTGTTCAGGTCCCTGGGTCTGAGCAGTTCTAGCTTAGATGTGCTGTCCCATGAAGTAGTGCATTTCCAAAATCACATTCATTTTAAAATGGCGAAGAGGCCAATCTGGTAACTAGGTTAAGTGTTTCAGCATAAAAAATACTTACAACACCATTTGTGCTTCAGAAGGCAAAGCGGAGAGGTAGATTTTCTTAAAATACATCCCCACTCTCCCATTTTGTGGATATCTGTAGCTTAAATGGGTACTGACAACGGAAAATGGTAGCATGTGGGGTGTTTTACCTTGCTGCTGTTAGTTCAGGAGTGGGGAAGAAGAGGCATCTCTGTGGTAAGGTAGTGATGTAAATGTTTGAACTTGGATGCTGTTTAGAAAGGTGTCAGCTTTCTCTCAGCCCTGGGAAATAGCTGGAAGGAATTTTCAGAGGTGAAATTATGGTTTGATGAATTGGCTTGGCACCTTCTGTGCTGTACCATTGCCCTCTGCTGGCTGCCACCTCTGTGCTGCTGCTGCTTACAGAAGGGATCTGCCTGCCATGATGCCTGTTTACCCTTCTTTTATGAGTCTGAACCAAAGGTTATGATTTCTTTCTCTGAAATTGAATTTATGGGACTCATTAACAAGCATGTGTATGTGTATGTATACACACACTTGACTTTACTAAAGCTCTAGGTGCGGATGCTGCATATTCTGTAGCATGGCAGTGCCCAGGGAAGCAGGACCTCCCTGGTATATTAGAAGAGGGTTGTGAAAGGAACCAGAAAGTAGTTGCATGAGTCGGTGTAACCTAGAAATGTAAAGCCAAGTGCTTCATTCACCCCAGCAATGGCAGCAGTCGCTGTGCACAAGCTTACAGCTCCACTGGTGTTTCTTTGTGACAGTGGGAAGAAATGGGATTTGAGCCCATATGGACCTGTCAAGGGAGAGGTTTGCAGGTAGCATTTTCAGATGCCCTCATGTGGTGCAGGACCCGAGCTCCTCCCTGCACTCAGTGCCTTGTGAGGTTATGGAGATCCAATCCATCTCTGAAAGATGGAGGCTCTCTGATCTTCAGCTCCTGGCCCTGGGAACACCTCCATGTTGCCCGTATGCGGGTGGCTATGGAGTTGTCCTCCAGAATGAGTTAGTGCAGGGCAAGGTGTGTACTTAGAGCCTTTGTGAAGCCTCTCTGTGCTGAGCACAGTAGTGTGAGAATTAAGCCAACAGCTGGAAACTAAAGCAAAGTGCTAGAGTTTGATGAGGAGCTGGAAACGGGTGTCCCATTTTTGATTTGGCTTTACTGCACAAATGCAGGGTAAGTCCTGCTTGTCTTATAGGTTATTATCTCTGAGTGATGAAGAGCTGTAAAGCTCACTTCTTGTCTGGGCATAATTTAATATTTCAAGAGGCCATTTGCATTAACGGAAGTCAGCTAGCCCCTTTTCAATTATGAATTACATCGTAAGAGTAAGGAAAATTATGTGTTTTTCCCTGATAAGTATCCTCATACCTTTGAGGATGTCTGTACATTCACAGGAAAAGCTTATTCTTAGATTTGAGTTCAAAACTATAACACTGTCTTATAGTATTAGGTTCCATAATATCCTCTCTGCTTTCATCCCTTTTTAGCTGCATGGGTTTAACTTCAGTATTTAGATTACCTTCACAGAAGATCACCATGCTTGCTTATTAGAAAACAAATTCAGAAAACCCTTTTAAATGAAGTGGGGTTCAATAACTGACACTTTATTATTGAATACAGTTGGATCCCAAAAAATTATGTGGTTTAAGAAAAAGGTTTAGTCTTCAAACTAGCAGTTTGTGATGAGGTGGAAGACATACTAGGAGTTTTGGGAAATGCAATTCTCGGACCTGCAGGAAACGAAGGACATCCACAGTGTTGCTGTTCTGAGTGGCTGTGCATTGGGCTTGCTTGGTGCCAAACAAGCCACCCAAAACTCAGCAGCCTAAAGCAGAGCCTTTCTATGGAAGTGGCTGGGTTTTGCCCAGTTCCTCACACCTCCTTACCTTCCCCATCACAGTCCCACAAGCAGGGGCTTGTGCAGGGTTGGAGGGCTCTCCTGGAGTTGTCTCCACCAGGTCCTCTCGCAGGGATGTGGGAAGCAGGAGACTGACTCCAAAGGGGATGGATCCCAGCTTACTGGGGCTCAGAGGAGAGCATCAGTGGCCCTATGGCAGGTGGGATGTCCTTGGATGAGTGCTAGTTGCCTCTTTCCAATGGAGCCTTGCTAATATTTCCTATCTGGTGAGTGGAGTGAATAATGTCTAGCAGGCGCGTGTCGCTTAATCCTTTCCTCAACATATGCATGATCAGATGCCCCGCAGTTGCTTCACAGTTGCTCACTCTCAGTAACATTTCCTCCCTTACGAAAACTGAAGGCCGGAACACAGCTGTTTTTTAAGAGGAAGCTCAGGCTTTCTTTGGTGTGGACTGGGGCGAGGGGCCGAGGGCTGGATGCTCAATAGAGGGCACCACAGCACAGGCTGTCATCCCTCCGTCTCACAACTCCTGGATTGCTGTTTCCTTCCCCATGCTCTCATGATATGATGTAAATGGGCAGGGGAAATTTGTTGAAAACAGAATCGGAGTGTTAACCTTCCACACATATGCAAGTGTGCATCTGTCATTGTATTAGGTTACAGTAGATACAGGAAATCTTTAGTTAGGATTAAATTGTACTGTTCAGCCATATGTTGTTCTCCTCCAGCAGAACAGTGTATAATATACCTAATAAAATCATGTTGAAGAAAACCAGATTTTGGACCTTGTCCAAATAAGACAAAACACATGTTTGGGCTTTTGTAAGTATTCTTGCCATAACACGGGGAAGGAGAAATACGCCCCATATAGTATGCAGCGTTTCCTCAAAAATGACATTATTTCTTCTGGTTGTGAAGTGATGTTTTTTTGCCCTGCTTCTCTAAAGGCCTAGAGATTACAAGCCCTTACTGAAAGCTTACAAATAAAGACCCACATGGCCATGAATAAAAAATTATTTTATTATTTCTACTTAAAATTTAGAGCCTTATCCTGCAGCCCCCTTAATCACATAAGTCGTCGTTACACATGTGAGCAATCTGGCCAAGAGGGGCGAGATCTCTAACAAGTAATGACTGCTGATAGGATCAGGACTTGCAGGGTTTAGCCTTTCCTTCTTATTCCGGGCATGCATAGGAAAGTCTGATGCTCTTTTCACTATGCCCAGTTAGTTTATAGGAATTATCACCATGAGCCATGACTCTTCCATTAGTGTGGTGGTGGCGGCGAGTGCTGATTTACACCGCACTACTCACAGCTTTGCACTGATGTGGGCTGCAATAAAACCACTGTAGAAGCACTGGGCATGCTACTGGTTGTGTTCAAACTGCGCACGTGTCCAGGCTTTGCTAAGACACCCAAGTATCAGTACTGTGACACTGCCTTTCCTCTCACCTTTTTAATTTGTTAGCTTGTGTTCTGTAATTTTTCTTTTCTCTTTTTTTTTTAAAGTCCTTGGAGCCAAATCTATATTTCAGATGTACAACCCTTCACATAGTGAGTCCTCAGGACAGCGAAAGCCCTGTAGAGCAACTGCTATAGCAGCACTTAATACCGCTAGTAACATCTGGTGACAAATGTATGGTTATTTCCTTTGAGAAGAAGTATTTTTAACAGGAAAGCATAATGCTTATGGATAGCACAGAATTTATTTTTCATTTTGATTGCTTGAAGGATGCAATTAAAAAGCAATCTAACCTGTTGGTTCAGATGGGGATGGGGGGGAAAGCAGGAGTTATTTTTTAATTAAAAGAAAGAGGAAATGCTTCAAGGGTATGACTGAGTGAAAGGTGTTCATATGTTTGCTTTCAGGATGGTTTTAAATGGTTTGCAAAATGCATTGAGTGTTTGGTCCCTTCCCTCCCATGTGAATATATAATATATGTGTGTGTGTGTGTGTGTGATTAGCTTTACGGACATCTTTCCATTTCTTTGCCATGGCTTCTCTTCGCTCCTTTCACCTCCAGATGGCACTGTGAAGCAGAAAAGCAAATTACTGTGAAATAATGAGTCCAATGTAAAGTAAAATTGGAAATTGAATTATAGCTGAAGAAAAAGGACAGTAGCCTTGAGGTCCTGATCAGTCTGTACTCTTATCACTTTTGTTTGCTGTTCCATGTGTTAGGTTACTGCCGAGTCAATAACAGTGCTTTAGCAGTTCAAGGCTTAGCAGAATTGTCCTGGACATGAAATAAAGCTAAAATGAATTTGTGTCCAATATCATTGACGTTAGTGCTCATTACTTCTCTGTTGTAATGCCTCAAACCATCTAAAATCAATTTTAAAGATTATCCATTATTTTATAAAGAAAATAAAATACATTTCAAACAGCAACAGAGCTGTAAGTGTAGTGTAAACTCATGAACAGTTAGTTACTTGTGTTTTCGCTGGATGGCAGGAAAGTTTTGAAGGTATGGCAAGGGGAAAATCTGTGAAACTAAATGCCTTGCACAGAATTTAATGTCTTGGCTTTTTGCTGGGTTACTTGGTATTAGACACGCAAATGTTAGAATTGCAGAAATGTGCATCCCCTCATTGTGCTCATAAGCCTGGGAAAAACTAACTCTAGTGACGCTACAATAAACTCCAGCACGCTATTTTTTTATTATTTTTTTTTAAGAGGAAGGAGAATATTTACTTCCCCAAATACATAAACTATAAACGTGGATTTATTGCGTGGAGGGATACTTTGTCTTTTCCTTTTTGTTGCAATGTTTGTTTGGAATATATGTTTCTCAAGAGCCAAGGCTGAAATCCTCTTTTAGTGGCTGCTGAATGATGACTTTTCAAACTGTATTCATGAAGCTGTTGCTGTGAAGGTGTGTAGACCTGTAAATTCTGTGTTTTGAATCACTTTTTTACAGCATTTGCTGGCTTCTTTCAGACTACGAAGAAGTTTTTCTGTATATTAATATACTGCGTGCATTGATTTTACAGATGTCTATTTGTTGTGTTTATTTTGAAGTAAAATTGTGGGACTTTAGATCAGATTAAGAAGGCTTTCTCTAGGTATGAAAGTGTGCTTATTTTGAACTTCAGCGAAATCTGGTCCTTCTGAGACTGAATTTCAAACGCACCTGGTCGATCATTAGGGTCATTGCAGTCATTTCCTCATTGGAAGGTGTCAAAGTTTGAATTATTTGCTTGGGACTGTGTGTGTGTTTACCTAGGCAAATGAAATATGCAAGTATACAAATATCCTGTGTTTTCAGTTAGATACCTCTTATTACTTATTTTGATTTGATGGATTTTTATAGGCTTAGATGAAGCCAGAAACCCTTTAGTGTATTTACTAAACATTATTGTAATTTTGGCCGCTTTTGAGAACAGTTTTCATAATGTATTTGTGTTTTAAACCATTGCAGTCTAAACACACCATTAATCTTATTTGAGAGAAGGAACTAATCAGTTATACTTTTCATTTTAGTCAGAGTACCTATAGAATGCAGTATTTCTTTCTGCTCTTACTAGTTCTTATATTAATGTGATCTCTTGCTCCCTGTGGCATAGCAATGACTTTTTTTGGTAACGACAGTAACCTGAATGGGTAGGAATAGGTACATATTGATTCTTAATAGTTTTGTTTAAAGATATTTTAATAATTTTTTGTGATGTACTGTTTGTCATGGTCATAGTTTTGGATGACTTTATTACATGAGTAAAATTACATGTACGTATAAAGAGTCCCTTGTTAGCAATTCCAGGATTTGTGTATTAAAGAATTCTTTCCTTAGAGAAATGCTGCAGCAAAGTTGCATTTATTCAAAATAGCGATGGTGATTCTCAGTTCTCAGTGCTTGTAAAAGTATCTCTACAACTTTCTATGTTACTGGAATGTATTGTATTTTGTTTACTCTCACTTGATGAAAATAATGTTCTGTGCTAAATTTATATGAAGACTTAATTTAAAATACCTAGTACCCAAAGATTAAAATGGAATTTCTTAAAGACTAGCTGGAATGAAATAGAATTTAAGATTCCCTGAAATTTTTTTACAAGTACATTTAAATCAGTGTTCAGTATCAGCATTTTCACTCCAGTTTAAATGTATGCGTGTCTGTAAAAGTGTAAATAACTTTTGGTTGTGTTGGCTCTATTGTTTACTGGTATTTCAGAGTCCTAACACTGCCTGTGTTTGAAGTCCTCCATCTCTGTACATGTTTCTTTGCCCCACCAGAAAAAAATGGTAACTTGTAATTTTCAGGAAAGTTAAGTTATTAAAAAAAAAAACCCAAAACAACAGAGTTCTCAAATGGAGACAAAATTTTTGTAAGAGTATATGCCTCCAACTGCCTAAAAAACATTAATTGATCCATGTGGCAATAACAGATGGTTAAATGGAAGAAATGTCCTTGAAGTTATTCTAATAGCAGATGTGCCTAACTATTAGCTTCGTGTTTTTACTCGCCTAAAATTCCAAATAATGTAATAAGAAAGTAACACACACCTAATCATTTTAATATGTTCATTACCTTCTGTTACTGATTTAGGATTCATCTGAAAACTTAAACGCAGGACATCATTTGGAATTTGTGCTGGTAAAACACTTTAGGATATGTGTATGTATGCGTTTCTGTATAAAAACATTTGACTTTTGGGTTGTTTTTTTCCCAGGATCCTACAAGATGCATTATTGCTTTCGGACAGTAGGCTTCACCTCTTCTTACAGACCCAGCTTAGCCCAGAAGATATAGAGGCTTGTGTGTCCGGACAGACCAAATTCTCTGTTGCTGATGCGATTCACCAGTTTGCCTCCTTGAACAGGCGTTTTCCTATAGAAGATGAAGAGAGAAAAAAAGGAGAAAACGATGCAGGCTCTGACTCGGAGAGGTGATTTCTGTATTTCCTTACTTTCTGAGATTATATATACACGCATACACACGCGCATGCTTCACTCTTTTTTTGTTGATGTAATACTAAGATAATGAAAAAATTAATTGACTGAGATTTTATTGAGCTGTGACAGCTCATCATAGAAGTCTTCACACACACCTCCACACTGAATTAATGAATGCAGTAGAAATTCAATTATCTGCATTCTGATTATGTGAATTTCATTTAGTCAGACTTGAATTATTCGCGTTTAAATTATCTTGCTAAAAAAATATCCAACTGCACTCCAAATGGCTAATTAAAAGTCCAAATTTCCTGTCTCTCTTTGTGACTGGAGATAATTAAAGTTCTCCTCTGTTACTCAGGCTTTGAGTGTGTTGTGAAAACCAATTTCCTCCTTTTATTTTTTTTTCTTTTTTTTTTTTTTCTTCCTTCCCTCTCTCGTTTTCTGCAGTTCATCCTCCGGGCTCAGACCTAGTAATGACAGCATTTCATGTGGATGTAAAGCAAGTCCAGCTTCTGAAGAATCATGAAAAATCATTCCCATATCGGTATCCTAAGGACAGTACAAAGCAGCTTCTGCTCTGTTTGCTGGTTACGTGCACCACGTAAACACGGCTGGCTGGTAGCATGTACCTGAAAGATGCGTTGTCGATACAACCACGTGTCCTTACAAAATTTTCAAAACAGACCTTGATACTATTTCTTTGTTGATTTGTTATGTACGTTGATTCTAGTCTACATGCTACCTATTACGTTTAGTTTTTTGTGACTGTTAAAATCTCAGTATTGGTTAAGTCATGCTCTGCTGACACACGTGGCAGTTAAAATATTTACCTTAGTGAGTGTATGTCTCTGATCTGAAAAATAAAGAGAACTTAATTCCTCAGCTTAAAAGTTAGTATATCATACCAAATATATTCAAAGCATCTTTTTGTAATTTGCATCAGCGAAGTTTCATCTTTAGAGGTCATTTGACATTGGTGATGAAATTACATACCCCGCAAGGTATTAACTTTTTAAAGTAGCTCAGCAACATCAGCAAAACAACATTTGCACAAACTATAGCTGCTGACAATTTGAGATGTAAATATATCTTCCTTTGGTCTTTCTGTAGCGTTTATGGAAAGCTTGATTTTTATCATGCAGAAGAACTGAAGGCAAAAATTCTTGAGCATGGTTGCTTAGAATTTAGAAATATTCATAATAATGACATCATTTCTAGGCTTGCTGGAGATTCTCAGTTCCCAGGATGGGAAAATCCTGGATGAGGTCCATTGAAACCAATGGCTGAATTTTGCATTGGCCCCGCTAGGGCCAGGAATTCACCCAGCATGTTTAACTTTGCGCACCTCTATTTGAAGATGCCGGGAGAGATGTTTTAGTTCAGCAGTTGAAACGGAGAGTTTCTCCCTCTCCAAGATGACAATAATTATGCAGCCATAGTGTGCTGTACGGACATGAACCCCTCTCTGCTTTTTGGGAGTAACAGCAGTTGCTGATTTCATTGTGGCTGTAGCTAACAAGTTGAAATGCTGACTTTTTCACAAACAAAAGGCAGGCTTGAACACAACTTCAGAACCACCAAAACTTATTTTGATTAAACGTCAGTATTGCTCTTTATTGTTAACAGCAGCTGCGTAGTGTCTTGTCCCAGATTCTGTCAAAGGAGTATGTTTCACTGTGGTGTTGTATTTATATTTGACATTTAACTGCTATTAAAAAGAGCTAGGGGGTCTGATCCACCCTAGCAAAGCTCCCATTAACTTCAGTGCTGTAGTTACCACCCTAGAAATGGACACACACATATATATAAATAATTATACATAATTTTTTTTTTTCAAGAATTCTGTGGATACTTCTAAAGAAGGAGCATTTTAAACCTATGAATTACAGAAACAATAGATAATTAAATGGCCAACTAATAAGGTTAGCATAGGCATGTATGGGCATGCTTTTTTTTAAAGCATCCAGCTGGGAATCTCTGTAATTTTAGAAACTTGTTTTAATAGCCCGAGGATAACATCTCTTAGGTAACTACTTTAAGCCACTGTATTTTGTTGATGGTAGCACTTCTGTAAGATAAATATCCATGTTTCTTTTTGCTTGGTCTTATTGAATTGCACAAATGTATCTGTTCATCTTCTCAGCTCGTGAGTTAGCAGCAAAGTTACTTTAATGTAAAAGTGATAACATTTAATTAAAGCAACAAGCTCTCACTAAAAGTAGCTTAAAAATAGCTTTTATTGCCAGGCAGAGATTTTGATTATTTTATTTTATTTTATTTTATTTTATTTTTATCTAAAGAGGGCACATTGCAAGAACAATTGTTTAGCAAATTTATTTAAAAGATGGAGGAAATATAAAAACAAGAACTAGAATAAAGTCCAAGAAAGATATTAATGTTCTTATTTAACACAGTGTCAGGGTACCGAGTTTTTGTTTTAAAAGATTGACCTGAACTGTTGAAGCACTTTACAATTCTGGCCTACTAACACATCTTCAATATCTGATGAAAATTACAGAAATAAAAGATCTGGGGAGCCCATGTGTTGATTTTTTATTTTTTATTTCCAGGAGCTTATCTGTATGCCAGTGAGTGTTTTCCAAATGAAGATGTTTCTGAAATAAATATGTTTTCTAATAGTTCTATTGTGGTTCTGCTATTTTCTTTGTCACCCTCCTCAAAAATTCTGAGACTTCTATAATAGAACTTTCTCCCCAGCTTTGACAGAAGTTTGTTTAAATATTTATCTTTTGAATGTTGTTTGCGTAGCCACTGTTACTGGAATTATTCTTATTAAAGGGGAAGGGAAAGTATTCTGTGCTCTATAGTGTCTTCTTTTAAAGCAGCTGTATGTAACTGCATAAAAATGCTTTAAGACATTTTGTTTAATTTGGAACATTTAAATATAACTGTTACAAATTTAAATGTAAAAATACTACTTTAAATGTCTCTTGTGACTTCAGTGATTTGGTGATTTTTTTTTTTCAATGTTATGTCATATTTTGATCAGTTGATAAATGGTACTTTGATTCTCATTTTTTAATCTTGAATAATGCTGAGATTTCTGGCTAGTTTTTAAATCAGGCTAATATCTATTTTATAATATAATCTAATTACTATTGCTAATTTATATCTAATTGCAGTAATTCTGCGCTCAAAAGCTTCACTTTATCTTTTGCTTAGAACTTTATATTCTCATTTTTATGATGATTTCTTAAAAGCTTTTAAGTAATTAAATAAAACAAGTTACTACTTTCTATCTTGTGTTTAAACCTGCTGGTAAGGTTTTCTTTATTTCAGTAACCATAATCACTTTATGATGTACTATGTGTAATTATTGTTCAACTATTTTTGTGATATTTGTGTATATATATAAATATATATATAAACTAAGTTGTGTGTGGTTTTGGGTTTGTTGTTTTTGTAGAAAATAGAAACAAGTGAAAATAAGTCCAGTTGTATATGATACCAGATTCTATAATGTGTAACTTCAGCATCATGTAAACTGGTATTGGGCAACCTGTTACTTAGTGTCATTGAAATATACTTTCAAGAGAGATGAGAAAAATCGTCTTTTGGAAAGAAAATTTTCACTTAAATCACAGTGCAATTTTATAAGCATTGTGAAAATTTACACTTTTTTATGCCCCACTATATAACACTGTGAAATTGTGTCTAAGCCTTTCTTTTTCTACATAGGTGTTATATTGAATTTTTTTTCCAGAGGAATATTTAAATTATATAGGTACACGGTTTTTGTGACTTGCTCTGTTGAGAAATACAAGGTCTGGATAAAGCCAGCACGTTCAGCCATGAGTAGGATAAAACCTGTGTGTCTCTGTGTAGTCTCCCTATCCAGGGAGAAGGAAAGGCACGGTATTTTTCCCCATTTGTTATTAGAATGCTGCAAAAATGTAAATCAGAATTTTCAATATCAGGTCGGTTATTTTCATGGAAGGCCTACATGCTTCAGGAAAAAGACATATTCTCTTCTTTGATGTTAAAAATACGCTAAATATGCTACATCGCTGCTTTGCCTTCTGGAATACAACATCTTTAGAAAATTCAAGTGACCTTACAACAAGGAAATAAATCTTTCTCCTTTAGGTTTAAACCTCCACTTCTTAATGGGAGAGTCCCCCCTAGCCCATGCGTGTTCGTGGGTGTGCGCTCGCCCGAGGAAGCTGTCATTCGGGGGCAGGCGCCCGTTTCTCAGCGCTCTGCGGGGCTCTGCCACCGCGTACCCTACTTTAAAAAAAAAATAATAAAGGGGAAAAAATAAAAGGGAAAAAACAGGCAGCA